ATCAAATCATAGACTTGATTGTTTCATTTCTGATGAATACAACTACGTACTAACAATATATGGTACTGAGGCTACGTTTTTCTAATATAAATGAAGGGGAGTCAACGTTATGGAAGCAACTTAATACAAGGTTGAGAAATGAAACCAAACCCATCAAAATAAAAGCAGTTAAACCAACCCTTTCCATTGCTTTTCTTTGAAATTTTCCCGCTGACAGATACCTACCACACTGAAGAAGCCCTCTCAACACCAGCCAGAGCTAAACCAGCTTCGTTCAACCACCTCTAGATAGTAACGGTGCACCACCTCTCTTATTTAATTTGGTTCCCTATTTATACAATTACAGCCCCAAGAAACCTTAACCATTTATATCCAGCTCTGTCTTTCAGCCAAGACCAACAAGCAAGACTCTGTTTAATTTGTGACAAGTAAGAAATGGGTTCTGTTTCTTCATCAACTGTTATGGCAGAAAAGATCTCTTGGTACTGTGCTTTGTTGATGGCACTAATGCTGGTTTTGAGCTGCTGTGAAGTGAGTGAAACCGAATTGTCCACGGTAGGGCACCCGAGGTTCTTTGAGAACAAGCCATGCGATGAGATTTATGTGGTTCGAGAAGGCGAGACTTTAAACAGTATAAGTGAGAAATGTGGGGATCCTTATATTGTCGAGGAAAATCCACACATTCATGACCCAGATGATGTTTTCCCTGGCCTGGTCATCAAGATTACTCCTTTCATCGATAGGTATACTCCAGATGAAGTATCATCTCCGATGAGATAGTTTGTATAATTGCTTTTAAATGTTTACCTTTATGTAATCCTTGAAGACACAAAAACATGGAGGGAGCTGTGTATATTTCTTCTCCCCTTGTGCTTAGACACTTGGTGGTGCTCCAGCTTGTCCTCATGAAATCAATGGAAGAAATTTTTTTACAGTGTCAATATTTACAGTAGGTGTACCGTGTCAGCAAAGCTGCCTAGAAGAGGTGTGCACTTGCACTGTTATGCATGCACAATTCTTACAAAAAGGCTTGCCAAAGTGGGCCGATCCTAGCAAAGAAAAAGTGATAGATAAAAACAGGTACAGAAGGATCGGCCTAGTCATTGAGAAAAGCATGATGATGATGGGCTCTGCTCAATGCTCTGTTAGGCAGCAAGAGATAGCCGATTGCATCCATCATTAATTAATCTATAGTGTAATGAAACAAGATATAAATAGATAAATAAAAAAGGTCACTACAAAATAAAATTGAGGAAACAGAAAGGATTGACATTTAAATTGACTAAATGATCAAAAGAAAGAAAAAAAGAGTAGAATGGAGGGGTGGAAAAAACATATACTCAATGTTCAAGGTTTTGATAGATGACCATTTCCTTATATACTCAATGCTCACCGTAACTTCAATGTGTATGGTAAGAGTTTGTCTTGTAGCTCCCTTTAGGATGGGTTTTCGAAAAGTGATGCTACATATCAAGAAAGTTTCATCACAAAATAAAGGAATAAGTTTTATCACAAAATAAAGGAATAGACCTCAAAGGCAATGTGTGCGGTTTTCGTCAAGTTTCTGGCTATTTATTTTCTGAGCCTGTGTGTCTTTGTGATGTCGTGATGTGTATCTTTTTCCCTGTTTGAATGCTTTGGGGTGACTACGATTTTTGGGGCATAAAACATACCATGAGAATATGGAGGAAACAAGCTAAAAGAAAACTGTTCCAATCTGAAATGGTAACCCGTCACTTGACAACAAAAACATAAATAGAATCGTTGCTTGTATGAAATTAATCGCATGGTTTGTTCTGAACTAAGACTAGCTCTGAAACAAGAAGAAAACAGAACACAAGCGTACATAGAACAGCCAGGATTCTCATTGCCTGTTTCCAATATAAACATGCAATAACTGGGTCGAAGGAGACTAACAGATTTAATTACAATGCTGCTAGCGCTGCCTTCCATAAATCTCAAATCTCACCAGTTCCAAGAGGCTGCCTTGATGTGTCACCAGAGGCCCATGCTTGATAGTCCTTTACAAGCTGCAAAATTATTAAACAAATTGATTTCACGAAAAATTAACCATTCCTGATGAACAAATACAAGCCTAAAGGAGGAATAAATCAATCCAGATGATGGTGGCAACATGTAGGATCAGACGAATCAAACTGGTATATCTAGGTTATGGAGGCAGTTTTACATTGTTGTAAGAACTGAATCACCAAATCATACTTCATTTACCAATTGAAGAACAAGATTTATCAGACAGAAGAGAATTTCGTGCAGAATTCTGAAAATGATCTTGTACTGTTAGTATATGTTGCAAGGATTTGTTCTTTCATCTAATCCCCCAATTGATATCTGCTTTTAATAGCCATATGGTTTACATGAAGTCATTTTTCATGGTGCGAGACCTGTGGAATTCAGCCTGGACCAGGAGCTTCAAGACTCAGCCAAATAGTGAACATGCAAGGGTTTAACCAAAATGAGGTACTAGGCGAGCAAATATCAGATCTGCAACTAGTAACAAGCCTATTTCATTCTTCATAGGATAATTTAATTTTGATTTCCTCAAACCTGTGCCATAAAGCGGGGAAGCATAAGCCCAAGTATTTGTTGAAGGATTTGGGCACCAGTCGATTCTATCGCTTCAGCTGGAATGGCCCTAATTGCAAAAGGAACCTCAATGCTAACCTAGAATGAAACACGAGTTTAAAATTAATATTTGTTTACATATATGACCATGTACAATATTGAAATCATTATAAAACACTGCGCCACAAGCAAAGACAACTTTGTCAAGTACCTCAATGACTGCATCTGAAGTAAGTCGCTGCATTGTAGAGTTGCTTGAGTTGCTACTGCATGAAATTTGGTTCACCATAGAAGCTGCATTCCCACACCAAATTAGTGTCAAAGCATTCCTGAAAAAAGCATTTAGAATAATAAATTTAGAAATTTAATTTCTAACTCTACTTTGAACATGGATTTTTTCCGAAAGAAAATCTCTCATCCTTTGCATTGGTTCAGCCAAAATGATCGCATGTTCCTGATAATGATTTTTTTCATGCACAGCAGTTAAGGTTTACAGAGAGATGCTATTTTCACCATGACAGTTGAATTATTAAAGTTTCCCTAACTTTCATCAGTTAAGCTGCAGAAGTTAAAGACATGGTTTTGCAGGCATGTCGGTGCCTTATTGCCGATCACTGTCCAGGCTCCAAGAACACACACAAGCAGTGGAGTATAGCCAGGGACAGAAGGTTATTAAAATAAATCTCAGAAACCAGTTTTTATGAGATAGTAAACCACATTCCTCTACTCCACTTAATAATACAGCATTTCCAGTATTTTCTCGCTATGCCTGAATTGTAGCCATTTTACAAATAAAAGCCTGGTCAACAGTAGCCATTTTACAGCAAGGCCAGGCCAAGTATGAAAAACATTCTGAGAAGCACATGATGAAATTTAGTTGCTGAGCATTTCATTCTGTACAGTAAAATTTTAACAAATCTAGTGTTGCAACATTCAAAGATGTTTTCTACCTTCCAATTCCAAGCAAAAGAAAAAAAACGAAGGACAGGGCATCATGTACTCCTTCGCTAAAACCTTGGTTTTGAAACTAATCTCTGAAAGAAAACCTTTGATTTACAGCATCCATCCAATCATACATTGAAACTAACGTCCCATTAAACAAGACACTTGTGCACATTCTTACACCCATAACACAAAAAAATAACTAAACCAGACTTATACAAGGTATAATAAACAAGTCAAACCTCAAGAAGACAACTATCATAGCAAGCATTGGCCAATAATGACACTTACACTACCACCACATTTCATGCCCATCATTCGAAAACAGAGTCAAAACGCTGGTCTAGCACACAAAGAAATCCAAAATCAATCCATGCTATGCTTGCCAGAAAACCCAAATAGAAACCCTTACCGTCAAATTTCTCATTCTGCGCAACGACAATCGGCGAACCTTCAAGCTGCCGCAACCAACAAACCAAGCAAACATCAGTGCATAACACCATGTAATCCAAAACGTCATAAACAAACTCAAAAACAACAAATGGAACAATAACAATAACCAGTGTATTATTATTACCTTACAGGACAAAAGCTTAATGCAACAACCAGTAGGCTGCTCTTCAACTCTAACAAGCAAAACAGGACAAACCTCAAACGCAAAAAACTTGAACCTATACACGTAACACCTAAACGTGTTGTCGTCTACCCTCTCTATCCTTTCCGCATCCAGCACTGAGTACTGACTCGCTGGCAAACTCATATACTCCACTGCAACCTCAACATAAAAAAATCATTACAAACTCAGTTTCAAAACAATCAAAATTAAAACCTTTTGTAATCTTTAGCTTAAGAAATTAATCCATCCTAACATTACCTAGAGGGCGGCCGAGTTGCCGGACCGAAACGGACTCTCTACGTCTGGCAATGAATTTCGCTTTCGGGGCGGAATCAGCCGAAGCACGAAGCGTGCATTTTGGATATTCAGTTGGAAAGAGTTGTTTGGAAGTGAGGGGATTTCTAGGGTTTCTGGATCTGAAAGAGATTGAACTTAGGCCTACTGTTGCCATGAAAATACTGAAAATTCAAGGATTGCAAGCTAGAAGAGGATAAAATAGAGGTTTTGTCTGTGCTGGTGATGGATACGAGGGCGAGTGGTTCTGCGGCTAACGAGGCGCAATTTAGACTCACGCGGTTACATTTTCCTAAGCTGCACGGGAAAATGCCAGCAGGTGTTTTGATTGTGGGCCAATTTTATTTTTTTTTGCTTGGCGAAGATTACTTGTGGCGTAGGATAAAAAAAAGGCACGTCAATGCTTTACTAAGAAGCGCACATGGCGTTAAATCTTCATCGACACAAAACAATCCGTTCAAAGCGACCCCGAAGTATCTCCCCTGCAAGCCTTTTTTATTAACGTTCAAATTAATCAAAATCTGAATCTAAAAATAGAAAGAGATAAAAAAAAAAAGTGGAAATCAAATTTCAGGACCGAAAAATTTAATTCCATTCAATGAAAGAAGAAACCTACATCAGATTCATTCAGATCAGAATCTAAAAAGACTTTACATAGGACAGAAGCACTAATTAAACAGAACCCACAAAAAACCCAACCCTAGCCGCTAAGAGCTTGTAAACTTGGTACCAGCCTTGGTCCCTTCAGAGACAGCATGTTTCGCAAGCTCTCCAGGCAAAACCAGTCGGACAGCTGTCTGGATCTCCCGAGAAGTAATGGTAGGCTTCTTGTTGTACCTTGCAAGCCTCGATGACTCTTGAGCGAGTTTCTCAAAGATATCGTTGATAAAACTGTTCATGATACCCATTGCCTTGCTGGAGATTCCAATGTCAGGATGGACCTGTTTCAGGACCTTAAAGATATAGATCTTGTAGGTCTCAACGTTCTTCTTTGCCCTCTTCTTCTTCTTGTCAATCGCTCCTTCTTTGGGTATCTTCTTCTCTGCTCTTGGCTTCTTCTCAGCTGGGGATTTCTCCGCCGCCGCTGGCTTTTTCTCAGCCGGCTTCTTCTCTGCCTTAGGGGCCATTAGGGATTCTTGAGAAAGAAATTGAGAATGAGTTTCTTCAGGAGAGGGTGGTTGAGAAGGTCTTTTCGAAGGATTTGATGGATGAATTAGGGATTATGTGGTTTGTTTATATAAGGAGAGGAAGTGACTGGTGATTGGTTGGTTTTGGTGAGACGCGGATTGATGACGTGGATGGTTGGTTTTGCGGGGGTTTGAATTGGCGGTCAGATGCGGTAACTTTTGAAGACCAAATGTCAGGCACGGGGAGGAGTACAGGCCCAGCCCAGCTGTTTGAATTAGTCATTAGCACTGAAGGCTATGATTAGAAAAGTCGGCCCAACAATCGAATAATAGGAGGGAAATGGGAGATAAGGAGAGGATTGATGATTTCTGTACAGCCATGGCAAGACTTCGGCAAGGAAGATTGCATGAACATACAGCTTGAGTTGGAGTTGCAATGCTCGGTTAGACACTAAAAATAGATCAGCTGGGAAAACGAGGCTTTCGATGTTTTCTTTATAGGGTTATCGATCATTTACTCAATCTTTGATTACTGTTGATTTCAAAGATATGTTGCAGGGCTTGGGTGTATAGATACGTCTCAGGCAAGTGAAGGGACAACCCATAAGGTTGACTGTCCAGTCGATTCTCTAAAATATTTGCCATTTTTGCAAGATATCAGTCTTCCCTTTTGGAGCTTGTCGATCGCATTATGTGCTGTTTTTCTTTTACCCACAATTTTCCTGGAATTGAGAGCTTTTTGCAGACGCGGGCACATGTGCAACTTGTACCGGATGTTCAGATGAGTAGGTCCGTGGTGGAGGAGAGTGTCCATGAGCGGAGGACCAATTGTTGAAGTGATTAGAATTCGGAGCAAACTCCACACTGTAAGGAAGTTGAAATGAGAGCAATTGAAAACAGAATAAATTGCGGCAAAGGTTGAAGAGGCCAATGTCAGTTCTTTAAGTGAATGAGTAGCTGCTGCTCGGGTTTTGTCCATTCATTGCTGCTGTTTTCTCTGATATTATATAAAAATATATGATTTCCATAGATCAAAGAGATAGTAAGTAGATAGCCTACTACGAAGATTGAACAGCTAAGTTAACATGAATCATCAGCTACAATATACAGCAGAAAACTTAACATTAAAGATCGACATGTTCATGATCCTGTACTTGAACGACAGCTTGAGATGGAGAGTCGAGAGCCAGCGAGTTCATGAACTCTCTTGTTTCTTTCTTCCATAGAGCATGTATGGCGGCATTCTGAACGAAAACATTTCTTTCGCAAATTACAATTTGCCCTACTAAGCTCAGCAATCGAATTACCTAGACGAGTCTTAATACATTTGCAGAAGGGAAAACCACGCCCCCTCCTTGCAAGATCACAATCAAAAAGCACATGATCACGATGCTCATTTGCATCACCTCGAGGGGCACCAAAGGATAAGCAGTTCTACATCTTTTGGTTTTACCGATCCGTGATTATTGAGGACTGCCAAGTACCGAGCAAGTGAAAACGCAGTGACCAGGAATATGAAAACTGCTCCAAATCAGTTTTGTGTACTTCAACCTTCTGCCTTTTCCACTCTGATGAAACCCAAGCACTTATTGCAGAATACTCACCACTAAGATTTATTTCCCACCCAATACTATCTTGATTCAAGTTATGTGGAAGAATCACCCCATAAACAGCTCCGCAAGGCTAGATCCAGTCCCAGCCTCTGATGATTATCAGGCACCTTTACCAGTACTAAATGAGGTTGCTAAATCACTTCGAAGGTTTCTAAACCCCCACAACGAAGCTCCATTGAAATTCTCAATCCCAAGCAGATCAAGCCGATTACCCAGCCTTCAGCAATGTGTTGTTAGAAGGAAGCTCGCCGATGTACAAAAACAGAATCTAAATCGAACATTTCCAATTGTTCTCCGTATGAAATTGAAACCATTCAAGGAAATCATAGATCACCAGGTGATTCCACAAAATTTAATCGAAAAGGAGCAAAAAATCAATCCAGTCAAACTACTACCTACAAAACATCTCCTGCAAAACGATCTAAAACAATTCTACAGATACCAGAAATGCACAAAACCACAAGGAAAAAACTAAAACAGAAATCGTCAAACCCAAACTAACCCTAATCAATCAAAACAAGAATTGAATAAAAAATGAGACTGCCCAAGCAGGAATCAACATCATTCAAACCCAATAATCAAAGAAAATTATGAACAAGATTCATGTTTCTTTGATGAAGAGCCTTCCTGCATCAAATCCACTAAAACCTAAACCTATTCTTCAACAGAAAAGCTATTTCATAGATCATGTCACCCACAAAACACCAAAAATCCAGAACCCAGCAAAGCCTAGCGAGGCCTATGAGCTGGTAAATTTGGTGACAGCCTTGGTCCCTTCAGACACAGCATGTTTCGCAAGCTCTCCAGGCAAAACCAATCTGACAGAAGTCTGGATCTCCCGAGAAGTAATGGTGGGCTTCCTGTTACACCTAGCGAGCCTTGAATTGAAGCCTCTTGAGCAAGCTTCTCAAGGATATCATTGATGAAACTGTTCATGATACCCATAGCCTTGCTTGAAACCCCAATATCAGGGTGGACTTGTTTCAAAACCTTGAAGTTATAGATCTTGTATGTCTCAACGCTCTTCTTTGCCTTCTTCTTCTTGTCAGTCGCTCCTCCTTTAGGCAACTTCTTCTCGGCTCTTGGCTTCTTCTCCGCTGGGGCTTTCTATGCTGCTGGCTTCTTCTCAGCTGCCTTAGGAGCCATTTCGAGATTCTAGAGCAGACGGGACTGCCTTTGTTAATTAGAAGAGAAAAAATCGATAATTTTTCGATCGAAGGGTTGGTGAATTAGTTGCGGCTACTTGTTTCGGTTAGTTATATAGAGAGATGCGTAGACCACGATTGGTTAGTTTTAGGTCGCAGAGGATAAATGACGCGGATGGTTGGATTAGCGAGGAACTAAATGGACGTCGGGGATGGTTTCGGCCTTTTAGAGCGATCGAATCCTTGTGTGGACTGATGAATTCCAACTTGAAGAGGAGTTCAGTCCCAGCCAAGTTATCGACAGTAGCACCGGCAGTGGAAGGGCCTTGATGACCCAAAAAGGCTAAGTTAAGATCTAGTCTGTTTATTATTAAGAAATTACTGTGTCCAGTTCATTCAAATCCTGGCAATTCAGCTTGTTGTTTCAAGCTAACGTTTTGAATCGATAATAAGAACAAGGTAGTCAAGAGATTGATATATTATTTCCACTAAGAACATTCGAAGCCGGCAATTAAAGCTTCATTGTTTCGACGGGGCTCCTTCTGATTCCCACTAAGATCAGAACCTAAACCTTTACATGTAACATGAAAGCCTAATACAGAAAAACCCATAAAACATTCCCATATACCCTAGACATGGCCACCTACGAGCTGGTAAACTTGGTGACAGCCTTGGTCCCTTCAGAGACAGCATGTTTCGCAAGCTCTCCAGGCAAAACCAGTCGGACAGCTGTCTGGATCTCCCGAGAAGTAATGGTAGGCTTCTTGTTGTACCTTGCAAGCCTCGATGACTCTTGAGCGAGTTTCTCAAAGATATCGTTGATAAAACTGTTCATGATACCCATTGCCTTGCTGGAGATCCCAATGTCAGGATGGACCTGTTTCAGGACCTTAAAGATATAGATCTTGTAGGTCTCGACGCTCTTCTTTGCCTTCTTCTTCTTCTTGTCACTGGCTCCTTCTTTAGGCAGCTTCTTCTCTGCTCTTGGCTTCTTCTCTGCCGGGGCTTTCTCTGCTGCTGCTGCTGCTGGCTTTTTCTCAGCTGGCTTCTTCTCCGCAGCCTTGGGAGCCATTTGGAATTCCTGGAAAGGAGAGTGAGAGTTCTTTTGGGCTAAGAGATGGAAAGCGGGTGATTTTCTTAAGACTAAACGAAGGGTTTGTGATGTGGTTATATATGAAGAGGACGTCAGTGTTGATTGGTTGGTTTTGGGAAGACGCAGATTGGTGACGTGGTTCTACTTTTTGTGGGGATTTAAATGGACGGTTAGAGATTGGGTTTTGATTTTTGGGTTTCGCGGGCTGATTAGGGTGAAGCGGGAGGTGGCTTATAATTGGATTTGTGAAAATTGTGAGTGGTTTGTTTTGTATTTTAAAAATAATTTTTTATTTTAAATTAATATTTTTATATTATTTTAATGCTCTATTATAAAAAATAACTTTTAAAAATAAAAAATATTATTTTAATATATTTATAAATAAATAAATATTTTAAAAAATAATCACAGTTATACGCTTTAAATTCTAAATAAATCCTTTCTATATTTTACATTATTAGAATAGAAAATTGGAATTATGGGTAAAAAAAAATTAAATTGTAAGTTATTCAAAGCAAATCTCTAACAGGTGGAGGCCTGGAAAAGCATCGAGACTCTTGAGATTTCCCCAGCAAGCATTGAAATCTTTCTTGAGAAATGCTAGAGAAGTCATCCTTGTAAATGCACCGGAGGGACTAAAAATCCTCAACAGGTAATCTATGGGGATCGGTTATTGACCAGACCTCCGTTTTAGGCCTCGAAAGATTGATCGGCAGGTATTCGAACAGTGACCTTTTGAGGGTGGATTGATGGGAACTGTAAAACAAGTCCACTGTTTAGAATATAAGATCCTCCGATGTCGAATTAGCAATACACAGAAAAATACTACGAATGCACAGTATATGATCGAGGTATCTGTCCAAGTGATCCCATGATATGGGTTAAGACTACTTTTTTCAACAGGATCCCCTTGTCGAGAAACTTATGTCACGGTGTCTATACACTCTTCTCGAGTTTAAGCAAGGAAAAAAGATTCCTGTTTTGAGCATATTCAAGGTGGAGTTCATGACATCATCGCTGGTTTAGTGAGTCCCTTTTTTTTTTTTGTTTAACATGCTTGATCAACAATATCAAATCAAAGTTAACTTCATGCTTTAATACTCGAGCTAAGTAAGTAGCAGCGTCAGATATTTTTAAATTTAAACAGTATATTAAGTATAATATATTATCAATAACTTTTTTATAGTTTAGATATTTATTATATTTAAAATAGCCTTCGTTCACACCATAACAAAAA